AAGTGCATAATTTAGATGCGTTTGTGATAGGCTGTGGGTGGTGTGCCAATGTTTGTCGGTATGAGTAAAGATAACTCTTTGTTCTATTTTCATTAGCGGAATCTCGGACACAGAATAGTTCCATGGTTGTCATGGGAGCCATTGCTGGAGGCGGAGTCATGTTGCTGATTGTGGTGGTTATTTTGCTCCTTCACAAAAGGTTAGAGGACGTTTCTCTGGTCTCACTATTTCCATTCTATTCTCTTCTTTATCTCTTTTCCAACCACAGAGCAGGATTTCCCAACTTTGCCTTAGTCGCTTCACCCACACTGTTTACATTCCAGCTTTGATGCACAATCATTCTCATTTAAGATATCATCAAGATAGGAGCTTAAATTAACTCACATGTGATGTTGAATGGTCTTTCATCAGGAGGCTGAATTCCCATGTCCGACGGAGGGTAGATGGAGATTACTTTTCATGTCCAGGTAAGAAATGAATTGAATCCCTTTTGCATTCATGTGTTTGGCATTAAGATGTCATGTTTGATGCTATCAGCAATAGCTTTGCACGAAAATCCCTATATATATATATATAGGCCTGTCGCAATAATCAATATATCGACTTGATATATATATATATATATATTCAAAGCTAGTGGGTGTCATTTAATCAAGGTCTAACTCTACCTATTTATTTTACAGAAAAACTCCTGCCTTTGAAGACCTACATTGATCCCCATACATATGAAGACCCCTGTGCGGCTGTCCTCAAGTTTGCCAGTGAAATTCATCCTAGTCATATCACCAAGCAGAAAGTCATTGGTGCAGGTCAGTGTTATTTTAGTATTAATTGTATCCTATTATAATATTTTAAATCTTTTTGTATTTCATTTATTTTAGTATTTTATTCTTTGTAATTTATTTTTGTTATGTGCTTTTGTCATTTAAATTTTTTTTAATATTTATAAATGGGTTTATTTCCCTTTTTTCATTTTAATTTTAATTTAATTTAATTAATAATTAATTTAATGAATTAATTCCACTTCAATGCAAACGTTTTTATTAACTGCCAAGGCAACATTTCTCATTTTCAAAGTTTGAGTTAAAGTTTATAATGTAATATTTAGATTTATTTTAATTTGGCTTTATTTCAGTTAGTTATAGTTTCAGTTTTAGTTAACATTAACAGCTTTGGTGCAGGTATTTAAAAAATAGTCACTTGCCATGTTTTACCCTTTAAAGTGTCTTTTCTGCATCTTAATTTACATTTTTAATTAACAAATGTGTTTCCATACTGTTCTACAGGAGAATTTGGTGAGGTGTACCGTGGTTCTCTGAAGATACCAGGACGCTGTGAGGTCACAGTAGCGATAAAGACCCTGAAGCCAGGCTACACTGAGAAGCAAAGGCAGGACTTCCTTAGTGAAGCCAGTATTATGGGCCAGTTTTCCCATAAGAACATTATCCGTCTGGAGGGTGTTGTCACTAAATGTAAGAATCATACTGTCAAATCATAGTTTCCAGTACTTTAGAATACCATTCCACAAAACAGTACATGTTTTAACAGGATCTTCTCTTCTACCTATTATTTCAGTCAAAGACGCCATGATTATCACAGAGTACATGGAGAATGGAGCTCTAGATCAGTATTTAAGGGTATGTTTCTGTCAGCAAATGTTCATGTTTAATACCTTTGCTATGATCGAGCAGAATCACTAATCTGTTTCTTTTTGCTCCACAGGACCATGATGGGGACCTTTCCTCATACCAGCTTGTGGGAATGCTCAATGGCATAGCAGCAGGAATGAAGTACCTCTCAGACATGAATTACGTCCACCGGGACCTCGCGGCCCGCAATGTCCTGGTCAACGGCAACTTGGAGTGTAAAGTCTCAGATTTCGGCCTGTCACGAGTGCTGGAGGACTATCCTGAGGGAACCTACACGACTACTGTAAGTTATATGAATGCATGATTTTGAAAATGAATATCTCTTATTTTTTATCTAAAATGATTTAATATAGGTATTTTTGATATAAAATTCAACATAACAAAATACTGAGCAAACCTTAACTCTTACTCTTTTAGGGAGGAAAGATTCCTATTCGCTGGACAGCGCCCGAGGCAATAGCATACAGGAAGTTCACTTCAGCCAGTGATGTGTGGAGTTTCGGCATAGTCATGTGGGAAGTGATGTCATTTGGAGAAAGACCCTACTGGGACATGAGCAACCATGAGGTATGGGACATTTCTTTTATTTATTATTGCTAATTACTCATACTTTAGGAGTTTAACCTAAATTGGGTGAACACAAAATGACCATATATAGCAGTGTTTCTCAACCCTGGTCCTGGGCGCCCCCCAGCACTGCACATTTTGTGTGTCTCCCTAATCAAACACACCTGATTCAACTCATGAGCTCATTAGAAGAAACTCCAGGACCTGAAATGGGTGTGTCAGATAAGGGAGACATACAAAATGTGCAGTGTTGGGGGGCGCACAGGACCAGGGTTGAGAAACACTGATATATAGGGATCATTGACATTAATTTTGTGGGCTTTTTTTTCCACTTGGGCCAGGAAATAACCATCTAGCAATGCCTTAGCAATGTTCTAAAAACCAATTAAGTTTTTAGTCCTCTATGAACATGAGTTTTACCTTTTTCTTTGTATGTTTGATCATAGGTGATGAAATCCATAAACGAAGGCTTCAGATTGCCGGCACCGATGGGCTGCCCATCTGCGGTCAATCAGCTCATGCTGCAGTGCTGGATGCAGGACCGCTCCAAACGGCCACGCTTTGTTGATATCGTCAACTTGCTCGAGAAGCTGCTTCGCAACCCAGAGTCACTCTCTGCCATTGCCAGTATCGACCCACGGTAAGAAACGGTTAACTGTAACTGTTATTTCAGTTATAATGAAGAAATCTACAATGCTTTATATTGAGATTTTTAATAAATATATCTTTTCCCCCACAGTGTCTCTATTCGTCTACCCAGCACTAGTGGTAGTGATGGCGCCCCCTTCAGGTCAGCGGATGAATGGCTGGAATCCATCAAGATGGCCCAGTACAGAGAAACCTTTGCCCTGGCTGGAATTAAAACGATGGAACAGGTGCTGCGCTTGAAAATTGAGTAAGCATGCCTACTTACATGCATTAACGAATCACAAAATGAACCAGTTACAAATTTCTATGTCCTTATCTAACCTGTTCTCTATTTTCTTTTTCAAAAAGGGACATTAGGAACATTGGAGTACGACTGCCAGGTCATCAGAAGAGAATAGCCTACAGCATTCTGGGCCTGCAAGACCTGACGGCGACCCTGGATCTGTTTGCTGTGTGAAAGATATTGTTGAGTGAAGCAGCACTGCTCTGGACTGGACTTTAAAAAGCTGGCTGAATAAAGACCAGAATGCCCTCCTTAAATGAAACGGACTCCCTTTGGGAATATAATCACTTTACTGTTTTGATATTTTGTTTTTTATATAATATTTTTACATGTCAGATGGACCCTTATGCTCTTTGTGATTCTGTTTTAACTTAAGCCATATTAAGCGCACGGTGGACATATGATGGTCTGTTTTGAAATATTGTGACTACTGCCTCAGGTCTGATGATTAGGGTACTATCAAGGGTACAACGATAGTAACCTTTATTACTGTAGTGCCCATATATTGCCATAATATTCCACATATTAAACAGAGTTGCCAAATGTGAGGGGTTGAAGTCTGATATAAGGATGTACAATTACAAATGTAAAAAGTTTAGTAGTAAATGTTATATGTTGTTAAATTGTTGACAGACATCCTCCTGTTTTGAAAGATAGGATGAATGTTTACATGTCTTATTTCAGCTCTTTTTATTTAATATTTATTTTTGTATTTATTGTCTGTGTTTGTAAAGAAAATAATGTACTGTATAGTATTAAAATATTTTGTTAGTCTCATCCTAAGTCATTTCTTTACCATTATGCACTTCACACAAACTTCATGCTCTAACATGCCCAAAATTAGTTTTAGATCATCTTGAGGAAGACTCTATCCGGTAGTCTGTAAGCTCTAAGTCTCTCCACAAATGCAGTTTGGAAACCCATTCACTGTAGTGGAGACAAAGTGTCTGTAATAATCCTGACTCACTTCGGTCCTTCACTGATGAATGTTTGCGAAGACTAATGAATCATAATAATCATGAATTAGCTACTTTTGTAGTTCAAGAGGTCCAAGCAGTGGTAGAATGAAAATGCTTGATGAATGAATGCTGACTGTGGCCTTGGGTGTGTTTAATACAAAATCAGACAGAATTTAAGCTCTTAATTGTGCAAAAGATTGTCTGTTTGGGCCTGGTGTGGGTCAGGCTCATTTTTCTACACTTAGTCTGACTAATATAAAGGGGACACCTTATAGCACAATGTACACTCTAAAAAATGCTGGGTTAAATACAACCCAGTGCTGGGTAAAACAGGGACAAACCCAGCGCCAACCTTCTGGGTAGTAACCCAACCGCTGGGTCAAAACAACCCAGGCGCTGGGTTTGTCCCTGTTTTACCCAGCACTGGGTTGTATTTAACCCAGCATTTTTTAGAGTGTACAGACTTATTACAGACATTAATTACCACTTTGAAAAGATTTATGTGATTTGGACACAATTACATCCAAGGTAATAGTCAACAGAGCTGTATTTTAAACATTTCATATAATCTTTTGTTGATTATGAGTTTAAAAAATACACAATAGTTCTATGTTATGTTAGGTAATAGATACAGTCTTACTTAATAGAGACAGCCTTAACTATTAAGCAAATGTAAAATAAAAAGCTAAATGTTTAAAAGATGATGCTTAATTTACATATTTCAAAGGTTTACAAAACAAAAATAGAGTTGTAGAAAAAAAAAAGAAAAAAAAAAAGAGTTGTAGGCTATGTGTATTTTAATATGCCTTCTATCATTCCACTCATGTCCAGAAGAGGGAGCCACAATCAAGTCCCTTTGGTGACGTGCTTTACGTCATATAGTAAAGATGGCGACGTACTGAAGCGCTCCATGCTTTATTGTTGATAAAACATATATTGTTATTTTACTGGATAAACTCACACCGGGGTCGGAAAAGATGTCAAGGTTAATAGTCAAGAATCTCTCAAATGGGGTGAGTATCTGTAATGTTATTAGAATATGATGTAAGTCCGCTGTCAAAGATGCATGCGTCTACAAAGATGTGATCGACTATTAAGCAGGTTTATTCACTAACAAAAAGTAGCATGGTACAACAATGTTTTTATTTGAAGTGGTGTCGTGGAGGTACCGTAGTTTTTGGACATGATACCATGGTGCTGCCATGCTTTTTTGAGTACGATTTAAATGCCATGGTGTATATATTAAAGTACGATGATATTATAAGTACCAGGTTTATGATACATCTTTTTAGATACTCCTTAAGAAACTACTTCTCTAATTGTAACACTAAAGGACAGTGTAGCCTATTTTTTTTTTAATTATTTTTTTCTCAAATACCAAATTAAATCAGTCATTCTTGAGAAGTGGGACAAAACGGTGCAAAATTGAAAAAATAAAACCTCGTACTCAGACAAATGAAACTACATTTATGTATCTTATATGTACTAAGCTACTGAGCTATGCTTTGATACAACCTCCCAACTTTTCTCTTTTTTAACAAAATGTGCTTTTTTTAGTTTGGACTGTGTAATATAATTTCAATTTTATCTTTAACAGCATTCAAGATGTTTTTAACGTTTCAAAACACATTCTCGTGTTAGCAGACAGATTACACTTTCACATGTGACCAACAATTCCACAACAAATATAAAATATCATAATGAAATATTATCAAAATATTCAACTGACGGAGGTGACAGAACTGACGGAGTTGACACATCTGACGGTGGTGACGAAAACCTGAATTTGTTTTAATTGTAACTATCAAATACATTGAATCAGTCAATTACTGTATTAAAACAAACAGTGAGTATGTTATTGTTTATAAAGCTTTTATTCAAGAGTCACATTTAAGTATTTTGATATATCACTGGAACACAAAATCTTATGGTGGTGACATCTGACGGTGTTGACAAATTTGGCATTTCTTTCACAAAACCAATGGAGTTCATGTAGTAGCCATTTTATTTTTTTCTGTTGATGCTAGATGCTAATGGAACCTGCTTCAGGAGAATACAATTATCTAAATATTTCAAATAATTTCCTCAGAAATTGGAAGATGGTGTTGACATATCATGGCTGTGACGCAGGAAATATTAACATTAGGATTTAAAATATTCTAAAACTAAAACTTAGCAGAGCCTGTCTGACACTGATGTACTCTGCAGAGGAGGACTGTGGCAAGGGGGTCCTTTAGAGGGACAGCGGCCCCTGATATTCCCTGATTTTATTAAATTTTATTGAATGTCTGACGGTGTTGACAAAAAGTGGGGACTCAACTTTAAAATCTTATGAAACATGCATGTGTCATTAAAAAAAACAACCTTGCTTTGATAGATATTATTAAGTGTTGCTTTTGATAAAACAAGCTCTTTTTCATCATTAAAAAAACATTTTTATCCATTTTATTGCATATGAATGATTGAACCCTTCTCTGTGGACACACTGTTTTAGCTGTAGTGAGAGGACATTAAGAGACATTTAAAATTGAAAATATTTTAATTTTTGAAAGCTAATAGCAGTTACCCTTGCTGGACCTGTTTTGTCCCACGTCTCAAGAATGACAATATTGTTATTATTATCTGATAGCATCAGTGTACCATCACTGTACTTTCTTATAAGGGTAATGAATATAATTAAAAAGAGTTTATTTAATTCTTATAAGCGCCCTCAGGCAATGATTAAAATGCATTGTGGGCTTGAACTGTGTGTGATCTCATTTAAAATGAAAAGTTGAAAGTCATTTTATTTATTCTGTGTCCTCAGATGAAGGGAGAACGTTTCCGTAAGATGTTTGCTGAGTTTGGGACACTTACAGATTGTACGTTGAAATTCACTAAAGATGGTAGATTTTGCAAATTTGGATTTGTAGGCTTCAAGACAGAGGAGGATGCGAAGAAAGCTATGAAACATTTCAACAAGAGCTTTGTGGACACATCTAGAGTTACTGTAAGTGACGGTGTGTGTGTATACATACAGTGGTGGCCAAAATGATTAGAACAGTAGTATTTTCACCAGCTAAAAATGGTTTTAAGTCAGTTATTTCTGTCTTTTGCTGTAGTGTGTCTGTAGAAAATATCAGTTTACATTTCCAAACAAACATTAATTTTGCCATTAATTGTAATAACCCAGTGAGATTTTTGTTTGCACAAGGAGTCTGACAACAGCCAATGCTCCACACAGAGATCTGATCTCATCATCATCCAGTCTGTCTGAGATTACATGAAGAAACAGAACAAACTGAGACAGACTCAATCCAGAAGAACTGTGGCAACGTCTCCACGATGCTTCAAGAAACCTGACTGTTTTCTGCTTTGGAACAATGTGTATTGTAAAAAGTGCAATATAAATAAATCAAACTGAATGTATGCTGTCACTCCATCTCCACAGAAGCAGAAGAAGCCTTTGAATGTTCTTGGAGATGTAAGTATGTTTCTCTTTGCATGACATAAATCATACTTGAATAAATATGCAGACATTGTATAAAATGTCATTTATAATCCTCAGCTTGAAAAAGACCAGAGCTTCCAGGAGTTCCTCGCTGTGCACCAGAAACGCACACAGGTGCCCACTTGGGCCAATGACACTGCAGAAGCGACTTCTGTTGGAGTTGAAAAGAAGAAGGAGAAGAAGCAGAAGGTGGCTGTTAGTGATGATTACCTAAATTTGACTGATGAACCGGAGGAATTTAGTGATGCTGAGGATGATGAAGGTGCTGATGAAGAGGGTAAACAAGCTAAGAACTTTGTGCTTGCTTCTAGACAATCCCAGATGATCCTCCATAATTGTGATTTCTCATTCTCTCCAAATGTGTTTTCTCAACAGATACTGATAAGGAAGCCTTGAAGAAAGATCTGTCTGATATGGATGATCTTCGCTCCAAAATTGTGGAGAAATCAGATATGGTGGATGAGAAAGAGATGGAAGAGGCTGAGGATGAAGAAAAAGAAGGTGAGAGTGTTAATGCTGCTGATAAGAATGTGGAGGAGGAAGAGTCCCCGGTCCAAAACACAGACATTGCTTATGAAAGTGGTGACAAGACAAGCAGCCAGAAAAGCACAAAACCAGCAGCTCAGAATATGGTCAGTGTGATAAAACGTGAGGTTTAATAGGGAAGAGTTTGGCTATTAGAGGCTCATTTGTTTATGCTGTTCATACACTATTATAGATTGAGCCGAGCACAGAGTTCACAGTCAAGCTACGAGGTGCTCCATTCAACATCACAGAGGTGAGATATCGGTTATTGATCGATTCTGAACTTTTCATTGTTTTGCAAAAGCCTTTATTAATGTAACAGTGACATACACAATAAACTATTTTACCTCACAGTATAACATCAAAATAATCATTCTAATCCATTAATTATAACTCTTGATTTATATGGTCTGACTTGAGTTTAATAAAGACTGTTATCTGGTCCCTCCTCTATTTATTTATTTTTTGCAATTTAGGTTTAATTTAAGTTTCATTTTAGTTTTATGTTTATTAAATTCCTAATAATGTAATAGTAACACAATATACACTACTGTTCAAATGTTTGGGATTGGTAGTCTCTTATGCCCACCAGTGCTGCATTTATTTGATCAAAAATACAATAAAATAAAATAATTGTTTTCTATGTTGATATATTGTAAAATGTAACTTATTCCAATAATGACAATGCTGAATCTTTAGTATCCATTACTCAAGTCTTCAGTGTCACATGATCATTCAGAATTCAATCTTAATATGTTGATAAATAAATGTTGAAAATAGTTGTGCTGCTGAATATTTTTGTTGGAAACCGTGATACATTTTTAATGATTCTTTGATGAATGGAGTGTTCAAAAGGACAGCATTTGTTGAAATAGAAAACTTTTGTAATAATTTAAATATTTTTAATATCACTTGAATTATTCTTTTATTTTTTTTTTAAACGTTGCTGACCCCAAACCTTTACATTTTAAATATAGATAAATTTAAAATTGGAATATTTATCTATTTTTCATACTGTTCAACAGCTACTTGCAATATTTGCACACCCCTAATTATAAAACAAATAGATTCTGCTCTAATATCTTATTTGAAAAAGAGAGCAAGCTTTAAATGTAAGCATATCAAAATTTCATTATCATTTTATTTGATTAAATCTTTTCAGTCAGTGATGACAGTCATTTTTTATTTGCCTAATTTTTGCCTGTCTTTCTGATTTACCACTTCATTGTAGCAACAAGTGAGAGAATTTATGGTGCCTTTGAAACCTGTTGCCATCCGATTTGGCAAAAACAACGATGGTCACAAATCAGGTGAGAGGCTGAGAGCATCTGTTGTTTACTGTCTGTGGATGATTTAGAGATGCCACTCGTGCTGTTTGATTAATGTTGAATTTCCTGTGATAAGGTTTACGTGTATGTGGACCTGCGCTCAGAGGCAGAGGTCGAGAGGGCCCTGCGCTTTAACAAAGACTACATGGGTAAGCAATTGTTCAGTTTCTTTGACAAGTACACAACTGTAACCAAAAGATCCTGTGTGTTCTGATTTGTGAGCGTAGCAAGTTTGAAAACAAGTACTACTAATAAGGCTGGTTTCAGGATCTCAATGCATGTGTGTTATCTGTGTAAACCCACAGGTTCAGAGTCATCAACTTTAAAAATGATAGAAGGTCTGCAAAGAGAAGCGAGAAGGAAAGAAATTGTGTGCACGAGCTGAGGGAATGATGAGGAAGAGGAAGACGTGGCGGAATCAGGAAGACTTTTTGTCATGAACCTACCCTACACGTGCACTGAAGAAGAACTGAAAGAAGTCTTCATCAAATATGGTGAGTCACATGACACACCATATTATCAGCACGAAACAATGTGGGAAATCAGAGTTAAAGTCTGCCACACATCATTTCTCAAGAGGTGTTTTAAAAACCACTTATTCTTCTTGTGTCTCCATCAGGTCCTCTTTCTGAGGTGCTTTTCCTCATAGACAGTCTGACTAAGAAGCCCAAGGGCTTTGCCTTTGTGACATACATGATTCCAGAGAACGCAGTCTCAGCCTTGGCTCAACTGGATAGCCACGTATTCCAGGTACTGATCCAATCCTTTCCTTCATTTGTGTCGGTGTGGTTATATTTGCTTCCTTAATAACTGTCTGGATCCTGTAGGGGCGGGTTCTGCACGTCATGGCTTCAAGACTGAAGAAGGAAAAGCCCGATCAAGGGCCCAACGCTCCAGGCAGCTCCTCGTATAAGAGGCAAAAAGATGCCAAAGACAAAGTGGCAGGTCAGCATTTGATGAACCATCTGGAGCTTAAAACATTTTTTGGAAATTTTTAAATTGTGTTCACCCTTTTTCTGTTGGGTTTCTTACGCAGTTCTCATAACTGGAACACACTGTTTTTGGGTACGAGTGCAGTAGCCGATGCCATCGCTCAGAAATACAACACAACCAAGAGCCAAGTGTTTACGATCATGTGAGGATTTGGGAACTAAAAGTTGTCTCTCTTGTTCTGGAGAGGATCAACATAGGTGACACTGGATCAGTAGTCTGATGGCAGTCTGGCTGTGAGGATGGCCCTCAGAGAGACGCAGATCGTACAAGAGACCAGACAGTTTGTCCTGGACAATGGAGTGTCTCTGGACTCATTCAGTCAGGTGTAGTATGTGTGCTTTACTCTCATGTGTAGTTAAAGTCAAAGGTTTGGAATTTCTCATAAATTAATTGTATTATTCAGCAAGGACAGTTGAAGCATTTTATAAAGTTACAAGAAGATATTTCTATTTCAAATAAATGCTTTTCTTTTGAACGTTCTACTCATCACAGAATCCTTAAAAAATATATCACTGTTCCCACAAAAATATTACACAGCAAAACTGTTTTTTTTTTTTTAAACAATTGGTAAAAATAAGAAGTCTTTCTTGGGCCAAAATCAGGATATTAGAATGATTTCTGAAGGACACTGAAGACTGGATTAATGATGCTGAAAATTCAGCTTGGCATCATAGGAATAAATTACATTTTATAATATATTAAAATAGAAAATAGTTATTTTAAATTGTAATAATAATAATTTATTAGTGATTTATTTAGTAATGATATATTCAATTTTTTGTAATAATGATTAAATAAATGCAGCTATGGTGAAAATAAGAGACTTCTATCAAAAAGTGATAGAAGTGGTCTATCATACTGACATATCGGTTTGTTTAAACTATCAATTTATATTTTTCTATAATAGATATTTTTAATTTTTAATTTTTTTAATATTTTTTTTTTAAATTAGGCATGCACCAATATTAAAATTCTGGCGGAAGAGATGTAACTAATTTATTTTCATATTTTAGCAAATATTAATGTTTTATACTGTGTGTAAAATAAATAAAAAAAATCAAACAATTAAAATTTAAATCAGTCATTTTAAATGCTACAAGTTAATTTAGGCAAATTTAGATAATTTAAGGTAATCTAAATGTAAAAATATGGTGAATATCCAATATCAACTGAGATTAATACATTTTAAAAAAACTCTTAATATCGCCGGATTACTGATATATTACAAATATATTGTGTATTCCTATTTGAAACGCAGATGTTGTTATTACTAAGCTATCTATTTAAATGAGAATGTGAGAACCATTCATAATTAGGCCTGCATGAAATCTGCATAGCATTCTAATCACCTGAATTCCAGTTCTTTATCAAAATTCCACAGTTCGCTCAATTTGCACAGAAAAATCTGACAACTACTGTGTGCAAATTTATAGTTTCTTTTTCTATCAGCATGAATCATGTATATGTGTGTCTGTGATTTCCATCTGTTTAGGCATCAGGTCAGCGCAGTAACTCTGTGATCCTGGTGAAGAACTTGCCCTCAGGAGTGCAGGTCGCAGAGCTGGGGCTCTGTTCTTGCCCCATGGGTCTCATGGGGGGTTCTGCTGCCCCCATCTGGCCTCACTGCTATAGTGGAGTTCCTGGAGCCTACTGAAGCCAATCGGGCCTTCGTGAAACTTGCATACACCAAGGTCAGTGGGGAGCTACTGTTTTCACTGATAAAAAAAGTACTGAAAAGTAAAAAGAAATTTGTGCCTTTGATTAGCAACATATGACATGCAGTCTGCCTCTTCAGTTCCAGCATGTTCCGTGTGTATCTGGAGTGGGCTCCTGTAGCGGTCTTTACAATTCCCACAGCACCTAAACCAGGTAATCCTTTAATCCCGCCATATCAGCCTGCTGGTGCTTGAACCTACAGTTCATCTTTCTATGAAGGGTAGATGTATGCTTAAAGACTCAAATGTTCAAAACAGAGCCATTTATTAAAATGTCAACATGAGAATTCACAATCATTGCTGCAGGGAATCTGCAGAGAATTCCAATCATTCAAATT